AAATATTTAAAAAGTAAAAGAAGGAAAGGTTAGCACCAGTAAAGAGAACACAGCATTTCAGTGGGAGAAGAGGAAGCATATATCCAGAAGGCAAAGGCCCGCCCATCAGAGGTTCCAAATTATGAAAATTTATTTGAAAATTGAGTTCCTGAACTCAGAACTCCATTGATGGGGTTTCCTGCTCAAAAGCAACGACCCAGGGAAGGAAGACATACCTCCCAGAGGGCACACAGAGGGTCTACAGCTGTGGTACAGGGGAGCCAGGCTCCATCTCTGACTGTCAGTAGAAACTGGCGGTGTGTGGTCCATGTGGTACAGGTTGTGCAGGCATGAAAGACACAAGAGTGAGGGGGCAGGAGTGGGAGCAGAGGCCTGCACCTAGGTTCCAGAAAGCCACTAGGGTCAGGCAGTGCGTGACAGGGTTTGAGTCCCTACAAGAAGGCCCTCAGAGGCCATTGTGTGAAGCTGTGAAGGTGGAGTCTGAACTGCGTTGGAGATCCAGGGATGCTGGAGATGCCAAGAGCGTAGGGCGCTGGTGCCAGCGGGCCAAGATGAACAGCACCTGAAAGGGGGAGTGAGGATGAAAGAAAAACAAGAGACAGAAAAAGATACTGGGAGGACTGTCAGTAGAGACTGCAGCCCCGATTTATTTTAGCTCAGCCTTCTTATACAGCCGAACATCAGACAGCCACCATTTGCTTAGCTCAATTAGCTTCAATGTTGGGGGCCTTTGTTGTGTAAAGTAGAAGTTTCTTCATGTCCGGATAGCTCATGAGCTCGGAGCCATATGCAGAGACTCCTTTCACAACAGGGTGCCTTCCTGGCATTTTTCCTGACTCTTTTGTGAAGTAGCAGCCACATAAACATGGCCTCTGGCTCTGGAAATGCCATGCTTTCCTGTGTGATTTTTCAGGTAGTCTGGCAGCATGGCAGGAGCCCACTTCCATATGTAAATAGGGTATCTCGCAAAGTGCCTATCAGCTAAAAGCTTTTACCACTGCCCCTACAATATAAAAATATCCTAGTCTTCTCTCAATAATTTGGAGCTAGAAGCCGAGCTGGAGCTAGAGCAGGAACTGGGTCACTGAGACTTGGAATAAAGAGCTGTA